CAGAGCCCTTTCAAATACTTCACCACTGATTTCAGGGAGGGGGTGGGGGAAGGAGAGACTGTAGTGGGGTGTTGAAGAGAAGGCAGGTATATGGAATCCTGTTCTGGAAGGGCTTATGAAAGATAAGTAGCCATCCACTGGCTACTCAGCCTTGTTAGTGTAAAGGGATTATCCCTAAAATTCTTGTAATGAGTGGAGAGGTTATTTAACTCCCAACTTGCTGCCCTGGATTAGCTATGTACCATACAGCTTTAAAAGTATTTTGAAACGGGGCAACTAGGTAGCACAGCAGATAGAGCACCAGCCCTGAAGTCAGGAGGACCTGAGTTCAAATACAGCCTCAGACACATAACACTCACTAGCTGTGTGACTCTGGGCAAGTCACTTAAGCCCAACTGCCTCACCCCAAAAAAATATTAAAAAAAGTATTTTGAAGATATGATACAGAAATTTGTAGAATGATGGGACTAGAAGAAATCTTCAAGGTCATTTATTCCTTTCTACCACAATAGTGCCTCTTTGCCTGTTTCTCTAAAATGTTTAAAAAGACATACTGAATGGTGTTCCATGGTCATTAGTCAGGATGCAGTATTGTTCAGTATCACTGAATGGATGGACTGGACATTTTACACAAGTTTTACTAAAATCACAAAAGTTGTTGGCAAAGCACTGGGTGACATTTACTAGGAGCAAGTGAAAAATGGCTTTTCAGGAGGAAAACTTAACTAATTAGTACAAGACAGAGAAGGACTAGCTATGTATTAGTAGCACAGTAGAATGAGGTTTATAAGTCATAACTGTCTGCAGGCTGAATGCCAATCAATTATGAGGAACTGCTGTAATGCCTATAATTTGTTATAGAGATGTGAGAATCACCACATTCATCACTACTTTAGGCCTGTATCATTAACTGTGAAGTGATTTGGACTCTACCAATTAAGAAGAGAGCTCAGCAGGGATACAACTCAAATGAAGAAGTGGTTAGAAAGGAGACTGTGAGGGAAAGAAAGCTTGTAGAACATGCAGGAGGAGGAGGAGAAAGGGTTAACTTCCTTTTTTCTCCCCATAATATCCAAAAGTACCCACTGGATTCCCAGTTACACATATAGCCTCTCTACCCAAAACAAAGCAAAACTATGAATGACATATTGCTGAGATGATGTGCAGAACTTTTCACTGTTAAACAGAAAGGCTAACAGGAGAAAGGAAAGGCGGGGTGGGGAGGGATATCATAGGAATGATGCAGCTCAGAATGACAGAGAAGACACTCAGTAATTACCTTATGAATAGTGTTATTTATTTGAGGACCTCTTTGCAATGATATAGATATTGGTAATTAACTGGTCTCTGTCCACTTTAAGGACACAAGAGGAGATATGGCTTCTGTGTAAGGAGAAAAAAAACTATAGAAGAGCAGAATCGTCCCTCCTTTCTTGCAATTTAGTGTTTTTTTAGTGTGTATTATGAGCGTAGGCACTCAAAAATGGATTATGATGACTAACCGTTAATGACTTGCATTTTCTTGACATTGCTAGAGAGGAATAGCATTGTTTACTGGAAAGATCGCTGGATCTGGAATCCAGTGACCTGGGTTCAGATCCCAGCTCTGTCACTAAGTGACTTTGTGACCCTGGACAGGTTGTTTTTTCCTGAGAGTCAGTTTCCTCATCAATGAAATGAGTGGGTCAAGCCAGATGACCCTGAAGAGCTCTTCCAACTCTACACTAAGATCTTTCCTTCCATCCTCTCAAATATCACCTCTGTTTTCCTGTCTACATTACCACTCAAGAAGCAGCAGTTACAATCACTATCACAGTTGTTCAAATGGCACCAGAAGACAATCAATGCTCTTCCCGTATTAGGAAATTCTGGTGGCAAGTGAAGAAAACTTCACTCAGTGCACACTCACTGCTTCCTGATTGCGTCCTTAGAAAGCATTCCTCTCTAAGGCCACGATGTCCCAGTGACACAGCTTCCTCAAGTCCAGAAACTCTTCCTTCCTTGCTCCTCACATTCCATTGTCTCAGAGGAATTCTACAACAATAAACCTGACTCTCATTGCCATTCCCCAAATGTGTTGCTACGGGAGGAAATCAGGCTGTGTTCTGGGAAGAGGAGATAACTGATAGAACTCTCTCTTCCGGAAATTCAGTGAGTCTCTTAGTCCCTATTCTTGGGCCATTCCACACATTCGCACTGTAGCTAGTCATAACTCACAGTGACGTCAGAAGCAACTTGGCTATTGTTCAAAAGTAAGATGGAGCTGGAGATCAAAGGCTAACCCTAGAAGCTTCTAATTTCTCCAGATCTGTTTTGGTTTTCTCACAGAGGGCAAAAAGAACAGGCCATATATTTATTTTATGCCTTTTGTATTCAGAAATAAAGGAAGAAAATTGGCATGTTCTGCAAATAACTGCTGTAGGATTCATATGTTTTCCATTCATTAAAACTTTTTTACCACTGTTAAACTCATTTCTGACTACTTATATCTAGACTGAGAACTTGTTGACAGAAGGGACTGTGTTTTGTACAACTCTGCATCCCCTCCATACCAAGCACCTATGTAACCCCAAATATAGGCCTAGCCCCTAAGCAAGATGATTAATCTTTGTTGTCCTCACTCCCCGCTCTGGATATCCTCTTTTGTCCTTCCTTCTAAACCTACCTAGGTATGTAGTGCCCTCAGGACTGGGTGGCTCTGCAAGGGACCATCCCATGTTGGCCTGCTCATCCTACTTTGGAATATGGACCTAGCCCTCCTTCTAATTTACCTCAGATCCTCTCATTCTATGCCTCTTCCTTAGTTAAAACTGGCAAATCAATTAGGGCTTATATGACAAGATGCTTACAAGTTAATGTGTCACTCCTGCCATGTAACACATGTGCATTGACTAAGGAGACTTCTGGAGAGAATGTTTAACACAAAAAAGTCATTTCAGGTGGTGTAGGAGGCTGGGGGACATATTATTGGTAGGCAGTCCTTTTCCTACCCTTCAGATGAAATAGGTAGCCTCTCATTTCATACATGCATATAGGACTGGCTTTTCCCACATACCACTGAATTGGGTCTCCTACTTAATACCTATGTTGACTTGAGCAAAATCTTTTTATCTTATGAGGCTTCAGACCCATTGTCTAAGAAATGAGGGGGTTGGAGTAGATGCCCTCCAAGGCCCCCTTGTAGATCCAAATTTATATTTCTACAATTTAATGAGAACAGAACACTATCTTCTCCTTGGCATTTCATCTTCATTTTCACTGAATATTTAATTTTTTTTCAAAGTACCTGCAAGCTGTAAAACATCCCTTATATAGATCTTTTCTTCCCAAGCCTAGTTTTTTTTTCCTTCAGTATTTCCAACTATCTAAACATGAGGAATGAATATAAAATAATATTATCCCCATTTTGTGGGGCAGCTAGGTGGTGCAGTAGAAAGAACACTGGACATGAAATCAGGAACTTATCTTCATAAGTTCAAATCAGCCTTACTACTTACTACCTGTGTGACCCTGTCACTTAACCTTGTTTACTTCAGTTTCCACACCTGTAAAACGAGCTAGAGAAGGATATGGTAAACCAGTCAAACCACTCCACTATCTTTGCCAAGAAAATCCCAAATGCGGTCACACAGAGTCAGACATGACTGAAAAATGACTGAACACCATTTTGAAACTGAAGGAATGAATATAAATATGGTAAAGTAACTTGCCCAAGACTTCATGACTTGATATCAAGTGGCAGAGCTAGTGAGTGTGAAGGCAACCATAGATTTTGAGCCATAGTACATCGTATCTATGTTCATATGTTGGCTCTGTTATTTGCTACCTGTGAGAACCTGGACAAGTAACTTCATCTCTCTGGGGCACTTTCCTCATCTACAAAATGAAGAGAATGAACTGGATATCCCTTTCACGTCCCTTCCCAATTAGACCTGGTGATTCTGCATTTAACCCAAACACTCTCGCTACAGGGCTGGTACTCATTCCAATATCCCAGGTTAATTTCCAATACAGGATCATTCCTATGGATTGATTTCTTTTTCCTCATAGGGTTAAGGGCTCTATTTTTTACTTTATCAATCACACGACAACTAATAAAGTTCTAAGTTTAAGACAAAATAGAAAGTCTAGGTGCTCATCAATTTCCTTTGAATTTGGTTCAATTTTCTAAATAATTCTACCACTTTAAAGTACGGAACTACTTTTAGCATGAATAATACCACACTTTTCAGTAAAACCCATATGGATCAGCACACAGTAGATATTTATAAATGGATGCTGAATTGACTAAGTTTGGCCATCAAAAACATTTGGCCTATTTTAAGAAATCAGATCTACTATCAAAACACAAAGATTTCCTAGCATTAGAATTAAATAATATGCCACAGATTCCGATAGAGTGATCTGAGTGATGGTGGCACAGTTGGCCAAGTATGTCTATTTAATGGGGGGACTGTTTTGAAGGACAACAGTCACTTGCATATCTAAGCATTGGTATGTTTATTATAAAATTAGTTATATAACTTTATTCACTTCAACAGACACTTATGAAGCATCTTATGTGCACTTATGTGCATGTCATCTCATCAGATACTAGGACTCCAAAGATGAAAAATGACTTAGTCCCTGTCCTCAAGGATCTTAATGCTCTTAGTCATAAAGTCCAATAATAATAACACATGAAAGCAAACCTGCTCTGGATAGTTTATGTACAATTCTTAAAGGGTAAACAATTTTCCCAAGCTATTTTATCCTTAGTAAATAATTAGTCAGTGTACATTACATTTCAGGTATTAAATATCAGATATAGCAATTTTTCTATAACTTGATAACAGAAATTAAAATTATTTTTGATGTAGAAAGTAAAAAAAGCTCTCAAGGCAATATAAACCTCAGTTTCCCCTGGGCCTGTATGATTTCCAAAGAAGACGGTAGAATTGGAAGAATTCAGCTTTAATAAAAACAAGGGATGGAAAAGATTTGTGGCACATATCACTCACCGTTCCAATCAATGGGTAAATGAATCCAGCACCAATGCTGGCCCGGACGTCATTAATTGGTAAAATGAAACCAGTTGGGACCCCTTTCTTCTCAGGCTCATGAGAAAGAGATAGGTGGGTTTTTGCCATGCAGATGGGCAAATTTCCAAAACCCTGAAAGAAAAGAAAGGAAATCTTCAAGTGTGTATATTAAAGAACCAAAATATTTCTCTTTACTTGTTTAATCAACTTACATTTTAGGAAAAGACCATGATGAATGTCAATACTGTGCTAGGCAAACAGTAGGTGCTCAATAAATACTCACTGACAGACTGCTATCAGGTTACATATTTTCCTTTCAACCTAATCACTATACATGAAGCTGCGAGCATCTTAATATCTCATCCTTTTGAGAACTAAATATTCTTTATACAAAGATTTGTGAGAAATGTGTTTGATTTCAGAAAGGGGATCTACTTTCAAAGGCTGTCAATACTTTATTTATAGAAAGGTGATCTGGACAAAGGAATCTTTCAGTAAGAGACTGTTAGTCATGTGCTTACTAATTCTGAATATATCATGAATGCAAAGGGTCCCCATTGTGTTAACTTATGAGTCATGGCTTTTTGATCTGCAAAAAGAACTAGAATGAGGTCACTCATTAAAACTTCTTATTTTCAAAGACCAAAGGCTAAACTTGAACCAGAGTCCCAAAGGTGAAAGGGGAGGAAGTCACATGTGGTGTCTGACAAAAGTACAGTGAACCCAAGCACGGTTTTGATTAAACAGAATATAGTGCCTCTTTTTTAGAAATGCTTTACTAATTAATTACAACTCCAAAGTTGACACATAATAACTTTTAGAATCCATTTCCTTAACTGGCCCAGAGAAAGGAAAAAAACAACAACAAACCAAAAACCTTGCAGAAGGTAGAAAAATTAAAATTTCTTCTAATTAAGCTCAGAATTTTTTCCCCAAGTTTACTGAGAATTATAAACAGCACTGTCTCTTTAAAAGAGGGCCTGCCCCACTTTTACAGACTGAAAAGCCTTTTGCCAAGGAGCAGATGAACTGGATGTGATGCATTCCATAGCCCTTGAGATCAGTGCAATCACTCCATCACAGTCACTCTACAAAACAACATGAAAGCAGAATCTCAAGTAGACCAGTAAAGTACATAGACCATTCTAAGAATGCTTGATTTGCTGTCAGCCTTATGGAATGTGGAAAGTCTTGGGCAAGAACTCTGGCTAAATCCAAGATCTCTGTAGTAACGATTTACACTGATGGTATTAAAAAAAAAAAGATAAATGATGATTAAAACAACAGGGTAAGGAGGAGATAAGAAATCCAAGTACAAAGGCCGTGAGAGGCAGAACAAAGCCTCTCAGCCTGCCCAAGACTTTTCACATCCTTTTCTTGTATGAGAATACTACATTCTACCAGCCTCCATAAGGAAAAGACACATAGCTTGGCTGACTCTTTTGGGTAATGGGATTGCAAAAGTGTCTGTAGGATCACAGAATCCCTGCTAGATTATTAATTCTACTGAATAAAAGGGTCAACCAAGGGACTCTAAATATTGTGGCATGGCGAATTCCCATGTCACCTGATAGGAGCAGATGATGCAGGACCTTGAGGGATTAATAAACAAACCAACCAAGAGAAGCCTGACTAAATATCATGGTTTCAACGTGCTAGATTCCTATTTATTCATCCTTGTGTAATGCTAACTTTTCAGCGTCATAGCCTATGGGGGTAGTCAGAGCATAAACAATGACTGGCTCTAAAACCAGACTCAACAGACGAAAAGCCCAGGCCAGTGTCGACCTGCTGAGTGACAAAGACTTGATCAGCCATTTTAATTCAGTTTAATGAGCATTTATTAAATGCTTACTATGTTAAAGGCACTCTACTAGGCACTGGGGATACAAAGATTAATAAAAGGATGCAATCTCTGTTCTCATTTGGCAGAGGGTTGGGATAGGTACAAAAATAACCATAAGGCAAATCAGAAAATGATTAAGTGCCTGAAAGAAGCCAAATGGAATGACCAAAGATATTTCAGGAGGGGACTGTCAACTAGACTTTGTGAAGAAGTTAACACCTGAATTGGACCTTGAAAGAGCAGATCTTGTCAATAGCTGGAGAAGGGTGGGATTGAGGTATGTTCATTTCAGGAATGGGAGACAGCATGTGAAAAAGCAACAAGTCAGAACAACCTTAGAAAAGCCTAAGATACAGCAAGCAGTCTTACTTTCAAGAAAATACACTAAGCATGGAGCTTATGATGAAATGTATGACAGGTAGGTAGAAGACCTTTTATAAGGATGGTCAAGCAGTAAGTGGTGGATGCTAAGGATGGGAGCTAGCATTTATACAGTGTTTTAAGGTTTCAAAGTGCTTTGTGGAATGCTACCTCATTTGATTCTCACAATAACCCTGGAAAGTAGGTGCTATTATGGTCTCCAATGTACAGATGAGGAAATGAGGCTATCAGAGGTTAAGTTACTAGTCCAGGATCAGGAAGCTAGTAAGTGTTGGAGGTCTGGTTTGAATTCATGTTTTTCTGATTTCAGGTCTAGGGATCTCCATTTCACTACTTAACTGAGGGCTCCATTGAGGCGAGATTGCATAAATTTGTAGCAGACCAAGTAAAGAATAATTTTATAACTTCCTAGCCTTAACCAAATAGGAACAGAGAGGGCAGATGCTAAAGGTTATTTAAGCTGATAATCACCAGAGCAGAAACAACAGAAATTCAGTCACTGGTTTAGGGATTCAGTTGCAAATTAGTCAGACTTGAAAATATGGATAATATCCTTAGCCATAATTCTACGATGACTGCCCCCCCCTTATTTTTAATGTATTCAACATTTTCACTCAAGGATCTTACAGTAGCTTCTTGTTGAAAATGAAAGTAGATTAAAGAAATTTCAGTTAATATAATCTAGATGGACGCCTTCCCATTTCTAGTTTCAAAATTAACATCTGAGAATTCCTGAGACAAGTTTTTATGACATCCCCCCCAACACCCATTACTTTTACCTGTTGTGTGTACCGCTCTATTTTATATTGTGCCTCAGGAGAAAGCTCAATATCTTGGGCTCCATAGACTTTCTGAGCAATGGTTCTTATTTTTTCAACAATGGGAAGCTGTAAAAACACAGACGGAAAATACAAAAAGTATTAACTGCAGCAGGCTGAAAGAATAAACTTTTAAAAATTTTCTGTTTTGTATTAAATTGACATGCATTTCTCATGTCCCTCTCTCCCCTCTAAAATGATAAAAGAAAAACAAAACCCTAGTAACAAATATTCATAGTCAAATAAGACAAATCCCAGTGGTTCATCATCCCCCTCTCAGGAAGTGGGCAGTTGGTCAGTGCATGGATCAAAGTTCTTAAGTCTTTAAAGTTGTTTGTTTTGACAATACTGAATCGTCCCCCCCCCATAAATTGTCCTCCTGGTTCTGCTTACTTTACCCTTTATCAGTTCATCTGAGTCTTCCCAAGATTATCTGAACCTATCTCTTGTCATTCAAATATCATAATTTGTTCAGTCATTACTAGGGGTGTGCTAGGGAGCCAGCTCCTAGCTTAAGAACGGCTTTTTAAATTTTCAGTGTGAACATTTACATTCCAGAAATTGACAAATGCTACAAATCAGGGCTTGATTTATTGTTTTGCTTAATGTCTACACTTAATAAAATATTATTAATTGCAGGATAAATTTAAAAGTATATTGTTGTTTGCATTTTCTCTTCTGGAGAGCTGATTGTTAAACATTTGAGAGCACACTCTCACCAGTACCTCACCTCCTTCCTAGGCCATTCCCCAACTAATGTGAAACCCCTCAATTTCCAGTTCTTTGCCACACTGAAAAAAGCTGCTGTAAATATTTTTGTACATGTGGGCCCTTTTCCTCTTTCTTTGATTTCTTAGTAGAGATATCACAGGGTCAAAGGACATTAAAAAATAAAAGTTACAGGGGGTCCTGTAAATTTTTACTTTTCCCATCAAGCTTGTTAACAAGATTCTGAACAACAGCAACGGCAGTACCAGTAAGTTATCTTGGGCCACAGTCCTGACTTTTTCTATAAACTGTTAATTATGTCCTCTCTTAAGGTCATAGGCCAACCAAGATATAAGCCTTAAAAGCTTAGTCTCTTTGGAACAGCTGCCAGTACCAGAAATAGAGGAGGAGTAGAGAGTATTTCTTCTGTGCTTTCATAAAAGATTATAGAAGAGTCTTCATTATGTGAAATAGCTATAATTTTCATAGTAAATAAAACTTGCACAAAAAAGAACATAGGTTTAGTTTCTGAACTATTTAGAATTGGCTGGAAAAAAAGGAATACAGTAGGACTGAAGGATTAGCCAATATTGTCAGGTAGTGACAGGCTGTCTCTTTTGGGACACTATGTTGATAATGACCACTTGGTATCACAGTGGATATAGTATAAGACTTGGAGTCAGGAAGGCTTGACTTCAGATCCTGTCTACTTACTAGTTGTGTGAGCCTTGGTAAGTCACTTAACCTTTCTCAGCCTCAGTTTCCTCATCTGTAAAAAGGGAACAATAACTGTACCTACCTCTCAGGGGCTGCTGTGAGGATCAAATGAGATAACATATGTGAAGTGCTTTGCAAACCTTAATGGGCTATTGTCCTTGTTGTCCTTGAGTTGTTTCAGTCTTGACTTTTCATGAACCCATTTGGGTTTTTCTTGGCAGAGATACCGGAGGGGGTTGGCATTTTCTTCTCCAGTTCATTTTACAGAGGAGGAAACTGAGGGAACAGGGTTAAGTGACTTGCTCAGGGTCACAGAGCTAGTAATTGTCTGAGGCCAGATTTGAACTCAGGTCCTCCTGATCCCAGGGCCGGCGCTCTGTCTACTTCGCTACCTAGCTGCCCAGCTGACTTAAATATACTGCATATGAATGTGTGACCCCAGAGACACAGTGTGTAAAAGTCAGTATTCTTGGAATAATCATGCAGAGAACAGAAGAGACACAGAAGACAGAGATAGGTAAACACTCACAGAGCTAGCAAATGGCAGACTCTACTGGCTGAACCCAGTTGGGTCTCCAGTCCAGTCTTCTTTCCCTTATACATGTTATGTTACCCCCACCCCCCTGCACACAGTCCAGAGGACAGGGAGAGAGAGCAAAAAGGAGGGGTCAGAGAGGCAGGAAGAGAATTAGGAGGGAACAGTATTGATGAAGTTGAGTATTTGATAAAGCTGGAATATTTAAAGGGAAGTACAATAATGGTAGAGTAGAAATAATAGCAAGTATAACAATATTAAAAGCTGCAGGGGAAATATGGAAGATGAAGGGTGAACAAAGACATAGGACTGAGTAATCAGAAGGTCACTCATGCCTTGAGAGACAACAGTCTTAGCAGAGAGCAGAAGCCCAGTGGCAAAGGCCTGAAGAGACATACATGCTCCCATCTCCATGCTTTTGCATCTATCATCCCTGCAATACACTCCCTTTTCATTTCTGCCTCATGGAACCACTCTCTAATTAAGCAATAATTTTTAAAAATGTTTTATTGATGTCTTATTTTTTGCATTACAAATACTTATAGATTGCTCCCACTTCCTGAGAGGTCTTTGTTATAACAGTTAAGAAAAATTAATATGATGACCTTGTCTGAAAGTTCATGCAACATTTTACATCTGTATTACTCCACCCACCCATTTAAAAAAATTGTCACAAATCTATTTATTTTCTCTCCCTTTCGTAGCTCCTTCCCCCCACGGTGGGGACAAGGGAAGCAAATTTCTTTTAAGCACCATATTCTACATGAAATTTTTCCTGGTCCCTCAAATTGTTAGTTCCCTTCAACCCAAACTTCCTTCACTTGAACTACTTTGCATTTATTCTCTTTTTATCTATCCTGCATACAGAGTCTTCTACCCCAAATAGAGAGTATATATATGTGTGTGTGTATGTGTGCATACATATATGCATATGTATATATACAGGCATGTATATATACCTACATATATACACTCTCTATTTGGGGTAGAAGACTCTACATAGAACATAAATAGATACATATACAATGTAGATGTGTATACGTGTGTGCATACATACATACTTATAGTATATAGAGTCTTACCCTCCACACAGAATGTAAGTTCCTTGTGGGCAGGACTGTTTTATTCTTGGATATGTTCCCTACTCTACTTTGGAGCCACATCCTTTTGTAGTACTTTGTTTAATTCTGGGTATGACATTTTAAAGAGGATGACAAACAGGGATAAGTGAAAAGAAGGGTGATGATTAGGAAAGTGTGATGGGTCTGGAGACTAGGTCTGATGAGGACTAGTTGAAGCACCTAGAGACAGAGATAGCTAGCTAGGCTAAAGGGCAGACAACACTCTTTAAATACTCAAAAATATTCTCTCCCATTGGCGAGAAGATTGAACAGATCTGTTCTACGTTGCTCTAGAGAAAGAAATGGAAACAGTAAGTGTAAACTACTGGGAGGGAGATTTTATTCAACATAAAGAACATTCCAGCATCAGAGATGTCCAAGGCAGGAACAAGGCTGCTTTGTAAAGTGATGTTTTCCACTGATGAAAATATTTAGCCAAGACTACATGACTATCAGGGATTTAGCAGGAGACCATAGGATGACAGATCTATGTAGAGCTGGAAGAAACATCAAAGGTGTCCTAGTATAAACTTTTCATTTTAAAGAGGCTGAGACAGTAGGTGCCAGAGGCCGATCTGAACTGAGGTCTGACTTGAGAGTCAGAGCTTGTCCACTAATACCAGCTCCTTATAAGGGTGGGATAACTAAAGAGGTTGGAATTTAGACCAGAAGACCTTTTGGGTCCTTCTTACGGACAAGATTTAATGACTTTATGTCGTTGGAGAAGAGTTTAATTGGATTTAAGTCCGCAGACAACAAAATATTATTCCAGAATGACTTTAACAGTTGCCAAAAGTTTTAAGAAATCCCAAGTCATATTAAACATGAGGCAGCTTTTGGAAATCTTTGAAGGAAGTGTTGTCATTCAGTTACGTCCAATTCTCAGTGACCCCATGGAGCATAGCATGCCAATGTTATCCATGAAATCTTCCTGGAAAAGATACTAGAGTGGTTTGCCATTTCCTTCTTTAGTGGATTAAGGCAAATAGAGGTCAAGTGACTTGCCTAGAGTCACACAGCTGGTAAGTATCTGATGCCAGAGATCTGAACTTAGGTCTTCTTGACTCCAGGCCCAGTGACTGGTCTATCCACTGAGCCACCTAGCTGCCTCACTGAGGCAAGTACCTTTCCATAAATACTAGATCATATATGTCAGCAATAACAAGGTAGGACCCTCAATCCTGCAGATGGGCTCTGAAGTGCTTTCCCTCAACACTATACTTTAGGTTAACATGACATCCTCCACAGTTCAATAAATGGTTGGCAAAGAACCACACTTTCAAAGTAAAAAAAGCTAGTAGATGCCTGTTTTTCTGTCAGTAAGAAAAAAAAAACCACAGAGGAAACTCAATGGTCATTTTAACCAGGACAGGCCAGCTCTCCCAAACACTCTATCTCCTTCATGGTACAACAGAAATGGAAAAGAAAACAAGCAGCCTCCATCCCTCATTCATGATCAGGATACCACCCTTTCACTGAGAGGCTATAAAATTATAGCAATCTGGTACAACATTGTGAGTGATCCTGTTAAGAAAAAGGCTTACAATGGAAAGGAAATTTTTAAAAAGGAGGTGATACCATTTCTGATGACATATGGAGAAGGAGGGTCTTTACAGTTCCTACCATACAAAAGCAGCAAACACCTCAAACCTCAAAACTGAACCTTGCCTCCAATTTCATAGATGAGGAAACTCAGGTTCACTGGCCATAGTTACACAGGTAACAAGCTGGGTCTCAAGCCTCAGTCTCCTTCCATCACACCACTACCTCTAGTTGCCAAACCCCTGCTATTAGCTACTGAAGTATTATATACCATACCCCCTTCCCATGTCTGAAAACGAAAAATCTTGGTAATTTTTCTTAAAATTAGGATCTTTTACAAAGCAAACAAAATTACTTATTGTGATTTACATTCAATTTAGATCCTCAGGTGTGGATAATCAGTAGCTGGCCAAGGATAAAATGGTAGTAGCTCACATATCTACTCA